TTTAAGCCCCCCTCACCCCCTGTAAGCCCTGACTGGCCGCACTCAGCTCTGCCCGCAGCCTTCTCTTCTCCAGGCTGAACACCCCAACTCTCCCAGCCTGGCCCCATAGCAGAGGGGCTCCAGCCCTCGGAGCATTTTTGTAGCCCAGTAAGCTCTGCAGCACCCAGAGGCAGCCCTTGGGTTCGTGAATCTCTTGAGAGAAATGTTGCTGGGCAGGCCCTGTGGCAGGAAACTCATCTTCCTCAGAGCTGGTATTTAGATTCTTCCACTCGCGTTTCAGGCAGCCTGTAAGCCTTCAGGTTTCTAAGCAAGCACTTGGCACCTGACCACTGCGAAAGGCTGCGGATGGAACTGGTGGATAGAAGTTTTTTCACCCAGGTGAAAACTTCTAGGGTGAAACTGCCCCAGCCGTACAGCTGAGCCCAGCCAGGACTGACAAAAGGTCACCAGGAGCTTCAGTTCTGCTGTAAAGAGCCCGATTCTTCGGGCGTCTCTACAAATGCAGCAGGGATGTTTTCTGGGTAATAAGATACCTTAAAACTGGAGTCATTTTCCAAGAGAAATGCTATTGCTTGGAACTTAAAACCCCATTTTCCTTTGCAAGCTGCAGAAGTTCCATTACTGTCATTGAGCTAAACGGAGAACTCCTTGATGGCGAGCTGTACAGCACTGATTTTGCAGTGTTAAGCCATTTCAGTACGGGGGGCTGATTCTGGCCAGCTTGGGAGTGAAACTCATGGGACTCCTGCTGGAGCAGGGAGCAAGGCTAGCCTGGTGGGAGTGTGTTGATACAGTATTCGGGTAAGCTTCTAGTAGACATGAATTCAGCAGTAAAAGTCTTATGTAAGGTTTGTTCAAGCCTTTTAAGACTTAAATCCATGACTGATAAGTGTGTTGCTGTTAGCAAATAACAGGCTGACCCCCAGCTACTTGGGAGAGCCCGGTTCGGTGTGGGGGCCAGATTAAAGAGCGAGGATCTGCAGACATCTATCTACGCCGCATGTGCAGTAAGCCGCTGTTGGAGAGTTTACCCTTCAGTCCTTGCGAAGTGGCGAAAGGCAGGTTTCTTCACCTGTAATCTGCAATAATGATGTTTGCAGAAGGCTTTGACGAGAGTTACGTGCCAGAAGTCGTGCGTTAAGCAAGGTGCCCTTTATCCTCCCACTGCAGAGCTATCTGCTCTCAGGTTATCTCTCCTCCGAGCCTTGCCTCGTTGGCTCCCCCCCATCCCTCAGCCCCCGCGCTGAGCTCCTAGCTTGCAGGGCTCGCTGAAGTCCAGCTGTTTGGTTCCAGAGGGTGAAGGGGGAAATGTGCACTGCTATGAGGATGTTAGTTAATTTTTTCTTACGTTGAAGTCTTGGCATTCGTCTTCCCAGTGACAGCTGATAAAGCGTTACGTCTCGTCCTGAGACCTCGTTTCAGTCCGTAGTTGCAGTTGGCTGCAGGCTGTCTTGTGGCAGATTTGCGTTGCTGCCTTTGGCTGACGTTGGACAAAGAGTTGAACCTGGCTACTTAGAGCTAAAATCCTCATTTGGAATGAGGTGTTTCTTGGGCTTTGTCAGCAGAAAGTCAGACATCAAGCAGAACCCCAAAACGCTCCATTTTCATTGCTTAACCGCCACAGTTTGAAAGAACAAGCTAATATGCTGAGAGTCAGTCCGTGTCGTCCGGCTTCCTTGCCTGGTCATAGAAACATTTGCTCTGTGTGTGCTCATTATAAGCAAGAAGGAGAACAAGGGTGTTGACATTACATCCTCCTCCCTCCAAATCTCTAGTCCAAGAAGAAACCGTACACCTCAGTCTGACTACTGGGAAAATGTTGAATCTTGGAGTTAATCTCCTCCACAGGGCATGTATCTCCCTTTCCTATCACTGCTGCCCCTGCCTTTTATACGCCAGGCAACTACTGCCATGAACATTTTTGCCTCCTTGCGACACGGGGAGGAGAGAGGATGGGCTCTGCAGTCACGTAGGGAGGCTCTTGGTAGGTTGGTACAGAGGGGAAGTGGTAAGCTGGAACGCGTAGAGAGAGAATTACAGAAATAGGAGGGTGGCAGGCAGACATTCTGGTAGAAAGGCTCAAACGTGCCGAGGCTGGAAGGAGAGTGACCTGGGGAACTGGCAGGGGTTTCGTTCCAGTACATCTCCACCATCACAGGCACTGGTTAACAGTCCCGCTAATTATGCACCTTACTTCTGGCACCTGGAAATTTTGAAATTCATAGCTGACAGACACAATTTCTAGCCTTACTGGCTTTTATGGGAGGTTTTAAAGTCTCTTTTGGTGATCTAGCCGGTATTTAAACTCTTTGCAGTTCTGGTTTTAGACTATGACATTGAATTCCCTTAATGCCACTTTTGAATAAAATTTGTCGACTAGAATTGTATTTTCCTATACAGTTGCTTACGGCTGAAGGATTCGAGCATTAGCTGTTGAAAAGACATAACAAGTTTAATTAAGTGAAACGTGTAGCTGCTGTACTACCAATACTGCCTTCGCAATTCAGTTTCATTCATCTGAGCGGGTTTCTCTAGGGACATACACCGAATTCATACCAGTCATATCATAACTTTTTCATTTGAATTAATTAAGGCCTTTTTCATTGAGTCTCTTGGTGTGGTTTCCTTCTGTCTCTGTTTGTTTGCCAGAGAAGCGTGCCAGGTACTAGTGCTGCGCCGCTGAAGTAGCCCGTTGAAAAGACGTGGGTAGCTGGGAATCTCGTTTATGTAATGAGAAAGGCAAGTCCTGGCAGTTTGCAGGGCTAAAGTGTATTATCTGCAGAAGAAAGACACTAATTGCTTCCTTATTGTCAATATTTCAGCCATTGGTAACGCATACGCGGTATTGAGCAACCCGGAGAAGAGGAAGCAATATGACCAGTTTGGCGACGAGAAACTCAACCCTGCTCGGCATGGACACAGTCACTCGGACTTCCACCGCGGGTTTGAGGCAGACATCTCCCCCGAGGACCTCTTCAACATGTTTTTTGGTGGTGGTTTTCCTTCTAGTAAGCATGTTAAACCTTAATCTCTTGGGTGGGATGGGACCTGATCCTTTTGACAGAGAAGCAAAGCAGTAGTGATTTGTTTGGCCGTGCAAGACTTGCTGAGTTCGATGAGAGAGAGTTCTCCGTCACACATGACCTAAACACCTAGACTTTTCTAAATTGTTCAGCTGGGTATTTGGAGAGCTCAGCGTCCAGCGGGTAACACCATCAGAGCTGGACTTTTTCCCAACTTCAGGTATTTGTTAGCTGTTACTAAGTGGGGTTGAACGTTAGGACAAAAAATGACTTGTTTTAAGGCTAGTTGTAAAAATAATCTTGTTCTGAAGAAGGCTTTTCTGCCTGGTGGTTTTAGCAGTTAAATCTTCTCATCAGAACAAGTTATGGTAATGCCCGGGTCTTGTTACCGATCTGTAGCTGCTCTGCCACGCAGCTGAAGCGATTTCTCTGAGATCAGCATCCACTGTGTCCCATAAAAAAAGAGGAAAGTGTTATTTCTAGAGCGTAATTTAAACACCTTGGATTGAAAATTAGATCTGCGTCGTGTCTAGCCACAGTGCTGATCGTGGTTTGGGTAACAGGAAAGAACCGAGTGACCGTTCCTTCACTTGATTGGTTCCGATCAAAAAGATGCAGATTTAATACAAAGATAAGGGTATTTTAGAAGACTCCCTTACATTTGCCCTGGTCAAATTTGACTGGCAGTGGAGGCAGTGGTTATTTGACCTCTGTGGACCAGCTTGGAAAAATAAATATTTTTCTTTCAATTGAGAAGATTTACTCGGGTAGCTCTCTCCTATCTGGTATGTAAGAGTTAACACGCTAATGTCGAGTACTTGCAAAGGCACCTTGAAGCCTTCTGCAGCATTCACGTTCTGCCTGTCAGAAAGGAAAGGCTACTCCAGTAAAAACAGCAGGTTGCTATTTTTTACTTTTTAGCTCAGTCTTATTTTTTTCCTTTCCTCACCCTCCCAAGAGAATTCAGGACCGCTTTCTCAGCCGGTTTCCCTTTTCAGCTGTAGGTTTGACATTTAAAACAAGACATGGAAGAGCTCTGGTTTTAGGGTGGAAAAACTACCAAAATTATTTCTTTTTGTAATTGGTTTTAATCTAAGGTAAATTCAGTTAGAAGCGAGGAGGCCTGTACGAGATACTCTCTCTACATAGCTGACCCTGCTTTGAGCAGGAGGTTGGACCTCCTGAGGTCACTTCCAACCGCAATTTTCGTATGATCATACAGAATCCTATAGAGGGATCTCTGTGCCCCCCACCAGTTTGCCTTCAGACATACCTGCTCAGAACACCTTAGGAATACTCCTTTTTCAGCTCTGGGTTGTCAACTTTGTCAATGTTGGCTTCAGGTGATGAATAGAAGTATTTTGTGTGGATTCTTCTATTGGTTTCCTGTGGCGTCCCATCTCCGCTTCGCCCAAAAGCTGCAGCCATCTCTGTCAAGGCAGCGTGATGGGGTGGCTCAAGTCAAGGGCCTCGGCCATGCGGCCTGCCGACCAAAACCATGGACCTGCATCTTGTGCCCTGGGACCTACGCAGGGATCTCGGGAATAGCCCAAGTCTGCCAAATGACCATTTCACTGAGATGCCCCGGCTCCAGCCTGGAAGCAGCCCAGCCGGGCAGATGTGCTGTCCTTCCTCCGGCGCTGGCCTGGCTGGCTACGTGAAGTAGGCTGAACCGAGAGCGGTGGTAGCGGCACACCAGACCTAAGTGCGAGCACAGCGTGGATTCCTTTACAGTCTCTACGTCCTCGTATCTTTGCCGAGTGCGGCCCGAACCAAAGAAACATATCAAGCCCATCCTGACGATGTTCAAATTTAAAATTTGTGAATTTGCTGTTGTCAGCACCCAGTCTACTTTTTCCTACTGTGTTTTTATTGGTGAGGCTGACAGGGAACGTGGCCACCTTTTGTGGTTCCTTCCCGGCCAGCCAGCACCGTCTCACATACCCTGATTTCTGTGTAACCGTTGTCTTTTGCCTATAGGTAATGTTCATGTATACAGCAACGGCAGGATGCGATATACCTACCATCAGAGGCAGGACAGACGAGAACATCAGGGTGACGTAAGTAGAGAAGAGGCGGCGGAGGGGGGGACTCTGGGGGTCTAAAGGTTTTTCCGATACAAGGATTGCGAGCTAGTTGGTCTGTCTGTCTTGTGAAACAGTCCTGCCTGTTTCCACACACCCCCCAGACAGAAAGCTGGAGCCGTGGGAAGTGAGCTGCCTGCAGAATTTACACCAAGTTGCGGTTTAATTTACTGGTGGTTGTTCTCCCGGGACTCTCATAGCTGTCGTCCCATGGGGAAAACGCTGGTGTGTCTTAAAACATTGTTGCCTTGAAATAAGGTTGCACCCGTAAAGTGTACCCGTCTTTACCACAGAATAAGCATTTCCTTTCTGATGTAATTCTGTAATTTCAAAAGGTAAATCCAGTTTTGAGATAATATGGATACTCGTGGCTCCTCCCAGCATGAACTCATTCTCTCTTTTATTCTGGTATTGAAGATGGGGTGTTTCTAATCTGTGATGCTTAATTAACCCAGGAAGACACTTTATAGCATGAGCTATTTTTATGTTTTCCCATCACAGAAAATCTAAGTATAACTCCAGCACTCCAAGCCCTCTGGCCTAGAGAACTGAGGGACTTGCTGTGTAAGAGACCAGGGTTATGTCTTGAAGATTACTATGTTCTGGGGATAGCTGATTATGTTTTTTTAAAAAGCCAACCGACCAAACAACAAGAACTTCCTGAATATTTTTTCTCCAGCTTAAAGGGGAAAGTGTCCTTTTCTGGAACTGGAGGGAGCTCAGGAGGTGAGGTAGAGGGGGAATTACTTTCATCTGACACTGAAGAGGGGAGAAGGCTTTCCATAAAACCAGTTCTGCTCACTAGCACAAGCAGGACAGGAACCACATATGCTCTAGAAAAACAAAATACGGGCATGAGGCATTTGCAGTTCACTCAGAAGGTTCCCCTTGCCAGTCCCCTCTGCCCTTTGTCACATTCGGAGAAGGGGCGGTGGGTTTGGACCTTCAGAGTCACACTGCTCTTTCTGGAGGGGAACTGTGGGCTACTGGGTTCCCCCCAGTTATTTTGGAGTGCCTCCTAAGCCGAACGCCTGCAAAAAGCAGGAGAATCGAGGTTGTGTTAGGGCTGGGAGGGAGGGAGAGCGATGCTATGGGATCCCTGCGTACAAGTGTATGGGTGACGCTCCACTGTGTGTTTCTGTTCCTTCAGGGTGGCCTTGGGTTGTTCGTCCAGCTGATGCCTATCCTCATCCTGATCATTGTGTCTGCCCTCAGCCAGATGATGGTCTCCAGCCCACCCTACAGTTTGAGCCAGAGGCCGTTAGTACCCATTACTCTGAAACTTATCCAACTGGGGAGGGGCGTGGGGTCTGGAGGGCAGGGTGGTGTGATGGGGTAGGGATCTAGGCTCTCTGTTTTTTCTGCCTTTTTTTTTTTTGCTTTACCTCATCGCACTGTTGCTGCCAGATGTCTCTCACATCAGTGAAGGTCTCCTCATTCCTCAAACAGGTCTTGAAGGTGGAAGGTGTGGGCAAGGTTGGAGGGTGCTCACTTGCCTAAGGGAGGCTGGTCTTTGACAGAGACCTTCTGCAGCCCATACCCACAACGGGGTGTGTCTGTCCTGGAAAGGGACAGACAAAATGACTTTGGGAGACTGCAGAATGAATTGAGATGTAGGGTTAAATTGGGGTGTGAAAAACGAAAGCCAGAGTTGTTCTTCATGAAAGTCTCAGTTTATGCCTAGTACAAAGCAACAGAGTAAGAGAAGAACGAATAAAAGACAATCCTGTAGAGTAAAAGACACTCTCAGAAGAAACGCCCGGCTTTTGAACTCCAATCTTGCCATGAAATAGCTATGGCCAGACATTTACTATGTGAAAGTGAAGCTGTTTCATTCTAGATCCTGTGGAAATGCCCCGGTCTGCTCATTTGGCTGACGAACGAAATGAGTCTTTATTCTTACTCACTTTGCAGTGCCAACAAAGAGTGGGAAAACAGGCTTGATTTCTGGCTGCTTGCATCATTCCTGACAGAAGCATAATGTGTTTTCAGTGGAAGTTCCTTACATGTATTTAAAGAGGGTAGACTTGGTTACAGCCCAGTTGGGCCCAGTTCAGTTTCATGGGTGACAACATTTGCCATTGACGACATTAAATCCTATAAAGCCCAGCTTAGCTTTGGGGTCCAAGGTAAAGACCACGATATTAGTGCTTGGAACCAAAAGAGACGGGGCGGTTTTGAAGAGGGCGTGGTTAAGGGTTACTCTGAGATGCTGAAGAGTATTGGGATGCGATTCCGGCAGTTGGTATTAGGACTGCAAAATTAAGTATTATATATGTGTACTGGTTTGTTTTACACTGGTGGAGAGGCAGTTTGTGGGGCGGGAAGATGTTCAGTGGAGGGTGGCATTGAAGTGGCCAGGGATTTGCTTCCAGCCTTAGCTGCCAGAGGAAAGCGGTCCCCGAGCCCCAGGTGTTTCTCTGCTGCTCGGTTCCCCCTTCCCTGCGCTGTCCCCGTCTCTGCGCACTCGGGCAGCAGCAAGCAAACCGATTTCCGAGTTTGGCTTCGGACAAAGAGCGGGAAGCGAGTTGATCCAGTGCTCCCTCATCCTTCCTGAGTGACCGAGGCACTTCAAATGACGTTCGCTGGGGAGCGAAAGGCGCCCTGTGCCGGCAGGCGGTGCTGCTCGCTTGCTCGCGCCGGCAGCCGGGCTCCCGTGCCTGGCGTAAGGGGAAACGCCGTGCTTGGCCGCCCTCCGGCAGGACGCTGGAGCTCGCCGCGCTGAACTCGGTGAGCAGGAGGCGAGAAGCTTTTTGAACCTGGCGAGCTTTTGATGGCACGCGGGGATTTCAGTGCCGCTTCTTGATAGTGGAGCCGTCACTGAGAAAGGCGGAGTCCTAAAGAACCATTTGTCACTCCGTTGCCATTGTAAATCTCTGCCAAAAATCAGCTTTCTGCTGAAAGACCTGTCTAGTTGTGGGCCTGTCTGTGCCACCCTGCTCTCCAATAACGCCTTTGCCTGACTTAATTGCACGTCTGACTTCAGGTGGCAGGTTCCTTGCGCCAGGTCCTGCCCTTATTTTCATGCTTTACACTCAAAGCAGGCTGCTGAGGCTCTGCAAGCCTCAGTACTCCTCCTTTGAGGGCAAGCTTTGTAGCCCCCATAGTTCATCTTTATACAAAAGAGGAATAGGAACTTTGGGAGAGCTTAGGGCTCTGTCCTGACAGGTAAAATAGAGAGCTGAGCTCCTCCCAGACTGCGTCTCTGCCAGCAGGCACTGCCGGAGATGCGTTAGCCTTTGTCTCGAAAAATGCCAGGAGAGCTTTTTGGTGACGTTCAGTCTATCTGGTTACCCACCACTCGTCCCTGAGTGCTGGACCTTGATGAAACGTGCAGGAGCCTTTGAATCACTCCTGTAAACCCTGATAACAGACTGAAGGGCGAGCCGGATGAGTTAATGTTTATACCTGGCTTAAGACTCAGGCTCGCTTTTAATGCAGCAGCCAGCTGGTATTTATTATGGGAAACTTTGGGCACGGCTCCAGATGGAGCTGTTCCTGACGAATCCAGCGTTTGGGCACAGGTCCCGTGTTACAGCTTGCAAACACGCCCTAGTATCTCTAGGTTTGCTGGAGTGTTGGGGATAATAAGCACAGGGCTCTGTCTGAAACGCAAATCCACGGGGGCAGGGTGAGAAGAGATTTCCTTGTAGAAAGTGCTTTCTGTACTCGTCGGTGCAGGCTTGAGCGCAGAGCGGGTCTAATTTTGTTCTTGCAGCAACCGTGTTCGTTGCGGCATGTGATGTGGTAGAGGAAGCTGACGCTCTTGGGGTTAGCAGATATCCTAGCAGGGGGGACTGGGTTCGACCGACGGGCAGCCTCGCTGAGCAGGGCGGGGGGGCTCTGGCTGGGGACCTGTCCCAGCCAGCCCCTGCTCTGCCCTCCCCTCGCCGCGCCAGCACCGGCCTCCGAGCTGTGCAGCCATCCCTGGGGCTCGCCGCCAAAACCAGATGATGG